CCACCCCCCCCCACACCCACACCCACACCCACACCTACCCCCCCACCCACACCCACACCCACCCCACACACCCACACGCACACCCTTTTTCTCATTCCTTTGCGCCTGCTTGTCCAGAATAGCGAATGGCATCAAGAAACAGCTGCACTCTTTTTTTTATAAATGATTCGATAATCGTGCATATATTCGCTGCGATTTCGCTGTTATCGCAGGATGACTGAGTTATGCGAAAGAAGAGCAGATGGATGATGGAGATACACATAATAAATTACACTGTTTCATAAGTCATTCTTACGTTGATAATGATGGCTTCACATTGCATCTTGCTCTTCATCTTCAGGTAATTAAGGCCTCTCCCTCAAAAAAAGTCAATTTTCACGAAAAAAACCAAAATCGAAATAAATGCATGAGAAGATAACTTCAGTTCTGCTCTTTCAGAAACAGCGTAATTTTTGAAGTGATGCTCCATTTTGAGACAAAATTTTTAATAATTTCTATCATCTACTTCTTAAAAAATAGGCTTTTATGGAGCTCACATATATTTTCGAAGAAAATAGTGAGTGTAAGTTTTAAGTCGAGGTTTTGCGGATCCTCTCACCTCCCCTCCTCATGTTACAAACAGTTCCGCATGACAGACAGGCACGACATAGCAAATGATTGTTATATCGATCATTATTGAATCAACAGATAAAAATACAACAAGTTTTCGATACTTTTAATACACCTGCACCAGTCTTTGAATTACTTCTGCTACATATAATATATACGTATCTGTACTAAAATATCTCTTAATTTATACGCAGGTTGTAAGTTACATATTTTAACGTTTAAGGAGCTTCGTTGACAAGCTTTTTTCGGAAAAAAAAGTGTTTTTCGTTTTTTTCCAGCTTATGCTTTCTCGACAGTGCAATCCAAATTTCTTTGTTCAGGCTTATCCAATATATTTAATTTTTTTTCTGTTTGAAAGACTATATCAGAATGCAGTGCTGTACAGAGTTCTTTTTTAAATTAATCTTGGTTTTGTGAAACACGATCTAAAAAGAGTGTTGAAGTGTTTAGGGGTAGAAATTCGCAGCCCCCCTTCCCCACAGACCGCAATAGACAGGATTAGGACCCATCACAAACTGTGACAGAGAAGACTCAGGAATCATTATAGACTGTGATAGACGACTTTAAGGAATTGTCAGATATGATGCATAACTAACATCTGATTGAAGTATATATGGAGTATTATACTGTTGAAATTATAACATGTAAGGTAAGCCATTATGAAGAAATATACATTAGTATGCATAAAAAAAGCAAGAGCTTTTAGAATATTGGCTATAACAGCTACATCGTGTTTCACATTTTCAATCCCGCAAGGGATTGCGCTAACAGCTTTTTATTATACATGTATATACAACCATTTATGTGAATTGGCGTCCATTTTTAGCGGTTTTTTGAGTCATTGAACTTGTCATCCATTTTTTCCGCTTAACAAAGAATAAAAAACACGACTCTGTGCTGCACTGAATCCTGAGACGTTCTTTCCAAGAAAATTTTTTTTAATATATTCAAAGAGTCCGAACAGAGAAAAATGGATTGCCATATGAGCTATTTTTGACCCTTAGTTGGCTCATTTTCCTGTAGAATGTCTTACTACGGTGCTGAAAATTTCCCCACAGCCTCTCCACATCAGTCCCAACACACCTTGAAAATTTCACGCTATTCGAACGCACTTAGCCTTGAAATCGATTTTTGAGGGAGGCCTTCGGGGTACCTTCCCCCTCCTTTTTTTACACTTGCTGGATTTCGAAGACGGCACAACCGATCAAGCTGAAAGTTCCTCATAACTATGTAAAATTGAGATATTTAGAGTCGAATAATGTCTCTAGTTGCATGTGGTATTTCAGGCTATTATATCTTAGGCTCAGCTCGAAATCGAGTTTTTGGTCATAAAAGAGAGGAGGTACCCTTGAGAGATGTCTTTGTTGGATTCTTATTTTTTGAAAATTAACCATCTGGGCTTTACTAGTATGACTGTGAGTGTCCAATCCCAAACATGTCATACTATGTCCCAATATGATCAATGCTCAACGAACAGTGCATGTGGTTGTTTTCATTTTGCGGCTGCATATAACAGTGGCATTTGTGGTCTTCTCTATGTGACATGTTCTCAACTTTCTTCTTGTGGATCTCTAAATAGTCTATGTTACGAACCTGGTCACATTTGTGTTCAACATCCTCGTTGTCACAATCTTCCTGTATGTTATCCATCCTCGATGGCCGCTCAAGAAATATGTCCAACCATACCTCCAATAATAAGTAATGTGCTATAACAGACTATTCTATGAAGATGAGCGAAAATCGCATTGTTTTGTTATATCAGAGCAGTTTTTTTTTTTTATTTGCATCCGCTACTCGCCTATTTAGCTGCGAGCCCATCTTCGAGATCAGGTGATGGCATTTGTGCAACAACGACATGGAATTTCAAGGGTGTCACTGTTGCTGGAGGGCATGGAGCGGGATCCGCAGAAAATCAACTCTACCATCCTGCTGGGCTGTTCGTCGGTGATGATGGTACGGTGTACGTTGCGGATACTTATAACCATAGAGTAGTTAAGTGGGCGTTGTCTTGTTCATCTATGTCATATTCTTCTACTCTACTTTAAAAATTCAAAAGAATACTTTAACCACAAAAACTGATACAATGTTTTTTGAACGCTTCACGCCAGGAGTTTCTAGTGGTCGAGTGGTAGCTGGTAGAGGCAAAGCTGGTAGTCACAGTGATTTGCTGAATTTTGTAACTAGCATTGTCGTTGATAAGAATGGAACCATGTTTATTTGTGATCGTGGTAACAGACGAGTTCAGCGGTGGTTTAACAACGATCACCATAGGCAAACAATCATTGCAAATATTTCATGCTGGGGACTAGCGATGGACCGCAACGAATTCTTGTACGTCTCTCATTATGATAAAGGTCTTGTAACAAAATGGCCCGGTACTGAGATAGTCGCTGGTGGAAATGGATATGGATCTGCTTTCAATCAATTCTTAGGTCTTCATCAGTCATATATCGATCGAGATCAATCAGTTTTCGTAGCAGACTTTCACAATTACCGTGTGATGAAATACGCCGTTGGTTCAAAAGAAGGAACTATCATGGCTGGTGGTGATGGAAAAGGAGATAATGTCGATCAATTGAGTGAAGTGAAATATTTAGAAATAATGTTTCATGCTAGGTGAATGCCATCCGAAGTTAATAGTAAACTGAAATACGTTAATACCGAATAACTCATCCAATCGCAGTGACTGTTGATCAAATTGGTACGATTTATGTCCTAGAGCATGATAATCACAGAGTCATGCGTTGGTTCAAAGGCGCAAAGTCGGGCAGTCTCATCATTGGTGGACGTGGTCGTGGCCATGGAGAAGATCAATTGAGCTGGCCGCATTCTCTCACATTTGACCGACACGGAAACTTGTATGTGGCTGATAACGGCAATAATCGCGTTCAAATGTTCGCTATAGAGAAAAGTTCTTGTGCTTGAGGTGACTGTTTAAAGAATTCAATTGGTTAAATGATTATACTGTCTTTATTAGTTTGAATTAGTACACATATAGAACTGAGTTTAACTTTGATTAATGAATCAATATGATCAAAAAAACTTGTTAGCGCAGCTTCAAAGGAGCTAAAATGTAGAACTCACGTATATCTTTGAAACTTGTTATCCTGATGCCTAACTTTTAGACTTCGAAACAGCTTTTTTCTAAGTATTCATGAAAGCACTGATATATTATATAGAATTTAAACCCTTCTATGCGCGGTGGCTGAGGTCTGTAATGGTGACCTGTCTGTAATTGTGGGTTGCCTGTAATGCGGGATGCGTCTGTAATATTCTCTTCCCCGTTACTATGTGTCTGTAATGAGAGGGAGAGAGCCGCAAAACCTTGAAATGAAAGCTTACACTCACTATTTTCTTCGAAAATATGCGTGAGTTCCACAAAACAAATGATGGCTGCAATGCAGCTCTTCGCTCATATTGGGGTGTGTGGGTGTGGGTGTTGGAGTGACTCTCCTATGAATTGACGCCTATACCCAAACTCAGCCAGTGATTGCACAATTACTCAATATATAGATTACAAAACACACAATCATCGTATTATGAACAAAAGATACTAATTATGAATATTAGACGTTCATATTTGTTTATAAAGAACACATGAGAAAGAGAGACTTGAAGATTAAACATTATCAATAATTCACTATTGTGAATGGGTTTAGGGGATGGGTGTGTATCCGAGTGAAGATTAGACTGATACCCCACATTCAGACACATATTCATACCCATACCCTTTCTACGCAATATTATAGTTCTTTTCTTGTTCTTATATACAGAGGTAGTTCCATTCATGTACAGCAGGTGAATAGTCACTCTTCTATGTTACCATTCATTAGTTGTGTTATTCTCTTCATTATCTCAAAGAAACCAGAACTCATGCTCGTATTCATACGTTCGTATATACAAATATCACAAAAGTAGAGAAGAAAAGACAAGAAAATGACAAGAACCGACAGCATTCGATATTTAATTCAAAACAAACATAAATAGTTCTCTATTAATTATTTTCGAAGCATACCGAATTCTATCTTCAATCGGCTGTATTTTTATCTTAATCATTATAGAATTCAATGTGTCTTTGCCAGCTGATTTCTACTGGCAATGCAATTGAAATATTGAATTAATTATGTCTTATGCGGAATATGTAGAATAGATTATGCAGTAATGTATCAGTCCAACGAGGTAAAATACACAAAACCAGATAAAACAGACACCCAAGCATTATAAGAGACTACGCTTATAATGATCATTGAACAAGTAGAAGTAATCTTCTCCATCGTTGTAAGTATCGGAATACATTTATGTACTATTATTTCACAGAGTTTTACCAGTGCCCATAAAACAACTATGAAGGCGATTAACATACCAATGCCAAACATGATGCTGTTGATATCAATTTTCGCTATACCGATAGTCACGGGTATCCATAGACCTGTGACTGAACCGATCGTTTTTAATAATCCAGAAACTCCCTGCAAACCGTCTTTTAGAATGGTTGATCGAGACATTGTAGATAACGGAAATATGAAACAAGAAATCTTTTTAAATCTAAAAATTGAAATAATCTTTGAATTCAACTACTGTCAAGTGCTCGATAAAATATTTCCTAGATTGAAAGGCTGGGCTCTAGCAACCAAAATTCACCTGGATGGATTTATCTCTTGAGGGTGTGAGTGAGAGCAGACATTCCTGAAGACAAAATAAACATTTACATCCTACTTTACAGAATAATTTCTTTTTTTTCAAACTATTTATTTAACATCCAATTAAAAATTAAATGACGACTTATGCTCTGAAAATTGGTCTAGTGAAAAATGCTCTTTAATGTTTAATTCATTTCATTCTACAGTGTATAGACCTCCTATTAACTAAAGTGACTAAAACCACCATTAACAAACATACATGAGCATTGGGAATCTATGTTACAAAAACACTCCTGCTTACAAATACTTTGTACTCGACGAATAATTGATTTAGTTTGTGAACAGTTTTTTTTCTTTTAAAATTCAGTTTTTAATTGTTGATCATTTAAATGTGGATATGGGCAAATTGTGCAAGAATATCAAACACCTATATCTACACCATCAGAAAAGAACCATGAAATCAATAAAACTGTATGATACATACTGGTAAATACATTAGAGAGACTTTGGATTAAAAAGAAATCATCATTCAATCAAATAAACTGAAGTTTTCTATGAATATCCATTTCAATTTTCCCTCAACTTTTGTGTAAATAATATTCTAATAGCACATCCATTGAACTTAAAACATCAAACGAAAACTGTAAAAATTTTCAGAAGAACCATAATTGTAAGTTACTTACCGAGATACAAAAATCAAAATAAATTTTTTCGGAAAATTTCGATAGTAATAGTTATCAATTTATTTCAATTCTATGTGTGTGAGACGTGTTGTTTGTTTTCTCGAGGACTCTTCTGTTGATTTTTCAATTTAAAAAGGTCTTTGTATTGTTCTTTTTTTCAGTCAGTCAGTTGCTTCAGTGTAAAGTACGGCTCATAGCAACAGTAAAATAGACAACATGGAGAACATACAAATAGTGATGACGAATAAAGAAAAAGAAAATTTTGTCTCATACGGATTACACACATCGATACTCATTTAGATATTATTTGCATCATTGAATAAGAGACAACGGTAAATAATGATAGAATTCATAGAATAGTCAGCAAAAAAGATATTAAACATTATTAAATTTGATGTACCTAGAAATAATCCAATATTCGTACTGAGTTTTCTATTACATTAGGGTTAGGATCACATGAATTAACTAATATCAACTAGCCATCGTTCAACTCCGATAATAACAAGTAGTGACTTATTGAAATAATTATTAATATAGCAATGCCTATTAATTATTATGGTAGAATTCGATGTCAACATCATTTATTGATAAAAAAAACATAATGGAATTCGAAATATTCTTACAAAAACTTAAGGAATTCGTTAGATTTAGTATTATATCCATGAATTATAAATTTGGGAGTATGTGGGTGTGGGTGTAAATATTCTCTTCTTTGACACCCACACCCACCCTAGGCAGTTGCTATATTTAAAAACATTCCAATTAGGGCAGTGTCGTTATAAAATGAAAATAATAGCTGTTTCTTGTCAAGAGAATAAAAAAATCTATCTACATGTTGATGCGTAATCATTTATAAGAAAAACATCCAACAAAAGATAGGTATTCAATTTGAATAGAATATTCTGTTGAAAGACAGATTTCATTGTTTGTCCTATCATAATAGGATGAATTGACTTTTGAAGTTATGTAACAAATATGAACAAGAAAATCAGAATATCAATAATTCTATCTGGAGAGATATTATACATGAAAAATTTGTTTGGTTGCTAGTAAGAGAAAAATAAGTCATACATACACATACAGAACGAGCAAAATGTAAACACATGCCTGTTGTACAATGCAAAGTGAATGAAAAGAAAAAAGCATTAATAGACGAAATAAGTGGTGTCTTTCATCATTCATTTTTGCCTAAATCATCACGCGATCAAAGTGAGAATCTATTCCTTATTTTTTTTTCTCGAATGAGTTTCAGTTTTGAAAATAGAAATATTTGATTTCCATCCATCAGTACGGAGAGGCTTTTGATTTTATAAAATCACTGCTCATATTTTTAAATGACCCAAGTTTCATTCATATTGAGGACATCTTACATTCCCAGCATATAAAATCATAACGACAGTAAAAGCTCTCTTAACGAAGGTTTAGAACATATTGATCAGTCAGTGCCCGACAAAAGTTTCGCCTCTAATGGGATGAGTATTTTTCTTTATTTCAATATATGAAATTATAGTACAATATATATAAACACAGTTGCTTTTTAGTTGTTTGCTTCTTCTTTGAGTAAAATGGAGATAAGCGAAATGAGATGGCATGCCTAATCAACAGCCGCTTGAGATTTAGGCTCTGTCGATCTCACTATTTCTTTGAGAGAGTGCCAAATGTATTAAATTGCATGGAATTCAGGTGAGTGAGCTGGTCAATCTAATAACCGGAGACCATGATCTTGAAATCATTGACAAACTGGTTTGCCTGATACGACCTTAATATGTCTTGAGCTACTGCATAACGACCACATTTATGTACATGTAGACCGAGATGAGAAGCTCATATGTGCTGATATTGAGTTTGGTTCATGGAACCATCATAGCGTGCAAACATTTTTCGTTTCACCAAATCGCACCCCACCAATCGACAGAGACACGAAGAGGAGAAATTTCATGAATTGGTGTTGGTTCGTCACGCTTCACCCAAACGATTGTACCAGAGTTACGTAATCGTATCTGTGTTTCTTCAATAGAAATCCATTTTAGGATATTAGTATTTTGATGTTCTATGGAAAATAAGCGTCGTTTTTCAAGTTGAGCTCGTGTTGATTTCACTTTGATATGCTGTTTTCTTGAGCAAAATCCAAGAGCACGGCGATATCGCTGTAACATCCGTTCACTAACTCGAACGTCAAACTTATAAAAGACAGTTAAAAAGCTGATTAGCCTTTGCGGTTAGATTTGTTAAGGGGATCCTCCCCCCCCCCCCCCCCCCCCCCCCCCCCCCCCATTGTAACGGCCCCCGCGACCGCGCCCCCCCGCTCTGGCGGTCTTTATTTCGGGTGGCCCAGCACCGGGTGTGGCGCTCGTGAGTTGATGCTGG